TGTGTTTCCACGCTTCTCCCGCCCTGGGGCGTTAGCAACCCATGTGTTTTCACGCGTGCTCCGCCATGGGGCGTTAGGACCCTATGTGTTTTCACGCTTCTCCCGCCCTGGGCGTTAGGAACGCATGTGGGCGGTAGCGCTGAGACCTTCGGTGGAGCTCCCGATGGGGCCACGACGCGCTGGGCGGGGGGGGGGGGGGGGGGCGCATGCGGGCGGGGGCACTGGGGCCGTCGCTGGCGCCTCCTATGGGGCCACGAAGCGGTGCGTTGGGCGTGGGGGGCGCGCGCGGGCGGCGGCGCTGGGGCAATCGGTGGAGTTCCCTATGGGGCCACGAAACGTTGCACTGTGTGGGGTGGAACGCACGCGGGCGGTAGACCTGGAACCTTCGGTGGAGCTCCTGAAGCGCTGCACTGGGAGGGTGAACGTGCAACATCTGATGTTTCGGGACGCATGCGGACTGTGGCACTGGGGCCTTCGGTGGAGCTCCTCATGGAGCCGCGAAGCGCTGTACTGCGTGGGTGAAACTGCCAAATTGGATGTTTCGGGACGCATGCGGACGGTGGCACTGCGGCCTTCGGCGGAGCTCCCTGTGGGGCCGCGAAGCGCCGCGCTGGGTGGGCGAAAATGCCAAACCGAATCTTTCGGAACGCGCGCGGGTGGTGGCACTGGCGCCTTCGGCGGAGCCCCCTTATGAGACCACGAAGCGCTGTGCTGGGTGGGTGAAAATGCCGAACTGGATGTTTAGGGGCGCGTGCGGTCGGTGGTACTGGGGCCTTCGGTGGAGCCCGCTATGGGGCCACGAAGCGGTGGGTGAAAATGCCCACTTTGATATTTCGGGGCGCACGCGGACGGTGGCACTGTGGCCTTCGGTGGAGCTCCTCATGGGGCCACGAAACGCTGTACTGGAAGGCAAAAATGCAAAATTGAATGTTTCGGGGCGCGTGCGGACGGTGGCACTGGGGACTCCGGTGGGACTCCATATTGGGCCACGAAACGCTGCGCTTGGTATGTGAAAATGCCAAATTGGATCTTTCGGGACGCACAGGGACGGTGGCTTTGTGGCCTTCGGTGGAACTCCCGTATGGGGCCACGAAGCGTTGTGCTGGGTGGGTGCAAAACTGCAAAATCTGATGTTTCGGGACGCGCGCGGGCGGCGGCGATGGACCCTTCGGCGGGGCCCCCTACGGGGCCACGAAACGCCGCACTGGGCGGGCGAAGCGCAGGGGGGCGGGAGGAGGGGGGATGGGGGGGGAGAGGAAGAAGGGGGGAGGGAGGAACGCGGGGACCGTCTCTTCAAAACGAAGACCCAACACCTCAGGCCGGTTGGGGATGTTCACGAACAGCATAGAACATCACAAGATTGCACAGCAAGCAACTGCCTTCCCTCCACTGAAGCATCTTCTCCCACTGAGACTCGCCTTCGCCTTGAACGCAGCATGCGCCGCAAGCGTGGCAGGCCAAGATGGGGAATTGTCCTTTGAAGCGCACCCGTAGATGACGAGGAATGCGACGGGCGGCCCGCAATCACAATGCCCACCAATCGACCAAGACGCCATCGGCGCGTCGCCGCGATGCCGGAACGTAGCGCCATGTGGCGGGAGGCATCATCGGTCCTTCCGACGCGCCGGCGACCTGCAGAACGAGGTGGCTGTGTACGGATGTAGCGGTCGCCTTCCCGCCGGTGCTCGATCGTAGGCAGAGTACCCAGTAGCGCTAGAACATCAGCTGCACCGTGTGGGAGATATTCGCCCATACCACCCAGCATCAGCATTGTCGCGGCCATGAAGACCGCGCAACGAAGCGCGAAGCACCGTCGTCGGTGCACCAGAGGAGGAACAGGAAGAAGAGAGGACGACTGCACTCATGGTGAAAACAACGTACAATTCTACAATTCGCCGGGAACAGCTGTGTGTGTGTGACGTTCCTCCGTAATGAGCAGCCACATCGCATAGCTTAGCCACAGAGTCCAGGCCCTCGAGGAGGTCGACCTTGGACCACACACGCACTCTGGCGAGGATGGTGCAACAGGCTCTGTGCGTACATTATGTGCCTTGCACTTGCTCGCCTCTGTCACTCGGATTCCAGTAAATCGCGAGGCTCCAGGAGGTTCGTGCCGACCCCCAACGCTCGCCTCCGTACCGTTCCAATCACCCGAAAACATGATCGACCCACGAACCCGGAAAGGAATACAGAAATGTAAGCCGTGGCAACGTTTCAAAAACACCTGATTGGGCGACGGGCAAATGCAATGCTTAGTGTATCGATCTTGATGTACCGTTCCGAGGGCTGTGCTGTCCAGATCTGTGCTGGATTGCGATGTGCCAGGCTACGGTCGTGGTCTATATGTAGCATTGTGGATCGAATCCTCCTTTGCATCCGAGTCCTGACCGAACTGATTTGGATCTTTAGCTCGAGCTGCCTCAGCACATAACTAATAGCTGTCCCAGAGCTGAGCAACACGGGAACAAGCCACGAGGACGCGCCGCGGAACGTCCCAAGGGACGTGCCAGGTGACGTGTTAGGGGACGTGCCATGGGGACGCACCGCGGGACGTGCCAAGGGGACGCGCTACGGAACGTGTCAATGGACGTGCCACGGGACGTGCCAGGGGACGCGCCGCGCGACGTGCCAGGGGGACTCGCCCCGGACGCGCCACGGAACGTGCCAAAGAACGTGCCAAGTTGCAATGCTGCGTGTATCGATCTTGATGTACCGTGCCGAGGGCTGTGCTGTGCTGCGCTGTGCTGAACTGCGAAGTGCCATGCCGCGACTGTGCTCTGTAGTGTTGTGGATCGAGTCCTCCGTTGCATCCGAGTCCTGACCGAACTGCTCTGGATCTTAAGCTCGAGCTGCCTGAGCACATAGTCCACATAGTAGCTGCCCCAGAGCTACTTTACAAGGGAGCATGCCAGGAAGACGCGCCGAGGAACTTTCGAAGGGACGCGCCAGGCGACGTGCCAGGGGATGCGCCACAGGGGCGCACCGCGGGACGTGCCAAGGGGACGCGCTACAGAACGTGTAGGGGACAAGCGTCGTGCTGGTGACCTGGATATGTAAAAACACGGTGCCAGCTCGGGACAACCATGTTAGATACCCCCTGGGTGGCCTGGACACGTAAAAACACGTAGTTCCAGCTCGGGACGATCATGTTAGAGATCTCCCTGGGTGGCCTGAGCATGAAAAAACGCCTGGTTCCAGCTCGGGACAGCCATGTTAGATACCCCCTTGCGTGACCTGGATACGCTGAATTCGCGCTCCCGCTCGAGACATCCTCGCAACGTCTTCCCTGGAGAGGCTCCCGAAGAGCACCCCCCCCTGCTCAGAGCAAGAAACCATCACTTTTCTGTATTGGGACATGTGTTCGGGTGGCGCTTTTCGGCCCCCCGTGCGTTTCCTCATAATTCGGCGCTGGGCCCGACGCCATGTTAGATACCCCAACTCTGCAAAACCAGCGTTTCGCTCGAGACATGCTCAACATATTCTGAAAAACAAGCGTTTCGCTCGAGACACCCCCCAACTCTGCAAAACCAGCGTTTCGCTCGAGACATCCTCAACACTTTCTGCAAACACCGAGCATTTCGCTCGAGACATCCTCTGATTTTAATCCGCTGGCCCACCTCGACCCCGATAATCATCAGGAAAAAATCCGCGGGCCCACCTCAATCATGGCACGGGGGACAGTTGACAAACTAAAGGAGAACCCTGGGCCAACGCCCTTTCCGGGAAAAAACGAAAAGAGAAAAGAAACGTCATAATGAAGTTGATGCCTCCCCTTTTTCCCCCCTGACGGGGGGGAGTAAAAGGAGGGGAAGGAGTTGGGGTCGGAGGAGCTACCAGGGGGGGGTGCGGGGGGGGTCCCAGATCAGATTACCACCCCCCTTGGATTCCTAGAGGGTCCCTGGGGGTTTCCCCCTGTGGAGGGGTCAAGGGGACCACCCCCATCCAGAGGCGTCGCCAGGGGGGTGAAGGGGAAGGCCCCACCTGTGGAAAGGGTGGTCCCAGGTCAGAATGCCGCCCCCCTTGGGTCCAGGCGGGTCCCAGGGGAGCGCCAGCGGGGGTCCTGGGGGAAGTCCCGCCTTCAGGGTCGGCGGCAACGGCCGCAAGGCCTTCACAATATTTGGGAACCCCCGAACGATCTCCCGAGAACGCCCTCCTGAGCCCCAGACGTAGGATCCCCATGGAAGGCCTGGCACCCCCATCGAGGGTCCAGGCTGCTGCTCCTGGCTCAGAACCCGCAGCCCCGTCTAGGATGGAACTTCCCGTCGGCCAAGAATTTGGGCGTGCTGCGCAATCTGGAGGTGTCACGACGGATTATGCGGCTCCCCAGGCTCGTCTCGCCGACTGTCCCCCTGGACAGAGGATCAAAGCTCTCGCAAGCTCAGACAGCAGCCACCCGTCCCCCGGCCGATGAGTCCACCGCTAGCTGCTGGGGCAGCGACGGACACAGCTTCTTCCGTCCGCGCCCGGGACGGGCACATCGGAACGGAGGGTGAATCGGCATTATGCTGTCATTTGTCAGCACATGGACTCGCAAGCCTCACTGCAACCTCGGCTGGGAAAGAGGATGGAAAGCTCGAATCGGCCCTCGGGCCTTCCTCGGTACATGCTTGTTCCTTCTTCATCGTGCTTCGACGGTCCCAAGGCCTGAGGGAGGGCCTGGGGGCACGAAAACGGCACGACAACTCTTATGTTGCATCTTCGGGGGACCTTGTCTGTCCCGTCGCGCCCTTATCCGTGCGAATCCGTGTCGAATCCATGTCGGACTCGTCGAATCCCCGTCGGATCCAAGTCGAATCCGCATCGAATCCGTGTCGAGTCCACGCCAAATCCGTGTCGACTCCGCATCGAGCCCGTGTCGGGCGCAAGAAACGGCACGAATGTTGGGGACAGACGAAATCCCACGGAGATGCACCTTAAAAATCTTTGACCCGCACCTTCCTGGAACAGCGCCCCCTGCCTGTGCCGAAAGGAGGGCGGCCCGCGGGGGCAGGTTGGCCGGCCTTCCGGGTCTCTTCCTTGGTGTATTCCTCGATGTCCTGCCCTCCCCGAGGGCCAGCGGCGAGACTCCCCACCCTCCATACTCCCCGCCCCCTCCTCCTCCCTCCTCCTCCCCCCTCTCTTCCCCCCTCGCCCCTCTTGCGCACCTCGCCCCCCCTCCCCCCCCCCTCTCCCCTTTCCCATCCCTTCCCTCCCTGTATATCCCTGTATCCGTCCCTCCCCTTCCCCATCCCGTCCTCGTCCCTGCCCTCCCCGTGAAAGCAGTCTGGCTCAGGGCAGTACGTTTGGCATCTCTCCCCCTGAGTTCAGACCCTGCGCCTCCATGGGGTGCTTGAGGGGCGCATCGCCTCGTGCCCTAATCACTACTCGGTCTGTGCGGCAGAAGTCGGGCACGGCGGCTACGGCGCGCGCGCGCGCGTGGAGCCAATGCTCCGGATGAACGACCTATGGATAAAATGACGTTCTAGAGCAGAGTCCAACCAAATGCGCCAAAAGACATCGATCACTCAAGCTTCGTTTAATCCCACGCCACGAAAGGGTGGCGGCTTTGATGGCTGCATTAGCAATCAGCTCCAGTTGGCCCCAGGGGACAGCAAACGCAAAGGAAAGGGTGCTCAAGGTCAAAGCAAAGCAGCAGCTACCGGCACAGGAGAAGTCAATATCATCCAGGATGGTTGCCAGCACGAGAGACCTGACGCTCAAGCAGTCGCTGTTAGAGCACAGCTCGAGCAGATAGACGGTGGACAAGCCAGGTAGCACGGTCACAACGCCAATCGCGCCTGAGGCACTACGTCGGGCGGGCGGTGCATGGAAGAACGCCAGCATGCGGCATGACCAAGCCATCTCGCAGGATATCAAACGTCGGGAGGCGTTAAAACAAACCGAAGAGAAGGGGTCCCAAATGGCCAAAGAAATCGCAACAGACGAGGTCGGAAAGAACGTAGCCGCGCGCTCGCTCGCGCAGGGGGCGGGCGCTGAAGGGAACAGCAGCGACGCGACTAAAGTTTGGACCTCGTCTTACGACGACGACTTTTTCGCCAAGTCGGGTGTGCGGACGCGAGCCCTCTGAGAAGGAGGAGTTGCAGAAGCCCGAGGCAAGGCTTCGAGCGGCCAATGGTTTGCTCGCAGCCAGGAGAACCCAGGACGACCAACGGACAAATAACATGATCGACCCACGAACCCAGAAAGGAATATAGAAATTGAATGCATCGCAGCGTTTTCAAAGACACCTCATTGGGTGACGGGGCAAATGCAATGCTGAGTGTATCGATCTTGATGTAACCTGCCGAGGGCTGTGCTGTGCTGCACCGTGCTGAATTGCGATGTGCCATGCCGCGATTGTGCTCTATAGCGTCGTGGATCGAGTCCTCCTTTGCATCCGAGTCCTGACCGAACTGATCTGGATCTTAAGCTCGAGCTGCCTGAACACATAGTAGCTGCCCCAGAGCTAATTGACAGGGGAACATGCCAGGAGGACGCGCCGCGAGACGTCCCAAGGGACGCGCCAGGCGACATGCCAGGGGACGTGCCATGGGGTCGCACCGCGGGACGTGCCAAGGGGACGCGCTACGGAATGGAACGTGCCAATGGATGTGCCACGGGATGTGCCAGGGGACGCGCCACGCGACGTGCCAGGGGAACTCGCCAAGGGACGCCCGACGGAACGTGCCAAAGAACGTGCCAAATTGCAATGCTGCGCGTATCGATCTTGATGTACCGTGCCGAGGGCTGTGCTGTGCTGCGCCGTGCTGAACTGCGATGTGCCATACCGCGATTGTGCTCTATAGCGTTGTGGATCGAGTCCTCCTTTGCATCCGAGTCCTGACCGAATTGATCTGGATCTTAAGCTCGAGCTACCTCAGCACATAGTAGCTGCCCCAGAGCTAATTGACAGGGGGACATGCAAGGAGGACGCGCCGCGAAACGTCCCAAGGGACGCGCCAGGCGACGTGCCAGGGGACGTGCCATGGGGACACACCGCGGGACGTGCCAAGGGCTACGAAACGTGCTGGATACAAGCGTTTCGCTCAAAACATCCGTCAACATCCTCATGCTAGACATCCGCCTGAGCGACCTGGACACGTGAAAACAAGCGTGTCGCTCAACACATCCTCAACACATTCTCATGCTAGACATCCGCCTGGGCGAACTGGACACGTGAAATCAAGTGGCTCGCTCGAGACATTCTCAACATATCTTCATGTGAGACGTCCGCCTGGGTGGCCTGGGCACGTGAAAACAAACGTTTCGCTCGAGACGTTTTCAACACCTCCTCATTCTAGACATCCACCTGGGCGACCTGTGTACACGTGAAAGCAAACGTCTCGCTCGAGACATCCTCAACACATCTTCATGTTAGACATCCGCCTGGGCGACCTGGACACGTGAACACAAGCGTATCTCTCGAGACAGTCTCAACACATCCTCATGCTAGGTATCCGCCTGGGCAGCCTGGACACGTGCAAACAAGCATCTCGATCGAGACTGCCTCAACACATCTTCATGTCAGGCATCCGCCTGGGCGACGAGGACGCGTGAAACCAAGCGTCTCGCTCGAGACATCTTCAACCAATCCTGGCGCTAGACCTCTGCCTGGGCAACCTGGAGGCGTGAAACCAAGCGTCTAGCTCGAGACATCCTCAAGACCTGGGCACGTGAAGACGAGCATTTCACTTGAGAGATCCTCTGAACTCTAGTCCCCAGGAGAGGACAATCTATAACACAAAACAAGCGTTTCGCTCGAAACATCCTCAACACATTCGGAAAAACAAACATTTCGCTCGAGACATCGACCTCGTTATTCATCGCAAATAATTCCGCCGGCCCTACAGCCGTCGAAACTGGGGGTAAACCTCCAAAAGAGAACCCTGGACCCCGCGCTTTCCCGGAATAAAACCACGCATACGCAAAGGCCATCGCGGATAGGATTACCAACATGATCGACCCACGAACCCGGAAAGGAATATAGACATGCAAGGCACGGCAACAGTTCAAAGACACCTGATGGGCGACGGGCAAACGCAGTGCTGAGGGTATCGATCTTGATGTACCCTGCCGAGGGCTGTGCTGTGCAGCGCCGTGCTGAACTGCGATGTGCAATACCGATTGTGCTCTATAGCGTTGTGGATCGAGTCCTCCTTTGCATCCGAGTCCTGACCGAACTGATCTGGATCTTAAGCTCGAGCTACCTCAGCACATAGTAGCTGCCCCAGAGCTAATTGACGGGGGAACTTGCCAGGAGGACGCGCAGCGGAACTTCCCAAGGGACGCGCCAGGCGTCGTGCCAAGGGACGTGCCACGGGACGCGCTCCCAGGGCCTCGATCCCTCGTAAATTACGCTGCGGCCGCGCTCCCAGGGCCACGATCCCTTCTAAATTACATTGGGGTCGCGCTCCCAGTGCCCCGACCCCTTGTAAATTATGCTGCGTCCGCGCTCCCAGGGCCACGATCCCTGGCAAATCACGCTGCGTCCGAGCCCCCAGGGCCCCGATCCCTGATATCTTACACTGCGCCCGCGCCCCAAGGGCTACGATCCTTTGTAAATTACATTGCGTCCGAGCTCCCAAGGCCCCGACCCCTCGTAAATTACGGTGCGCCCGCGCTCCGAGGGCCACCACCACTGGCAAATTACGCGTGGTCCACGCTCCAAACGCCACGATCCCTTGTAGATTACGCCGCGTCCGCGCTCCCAGGGCCTCCTGGGGCATGCTGGGGCGCCCAGGCCCTTCAAGTTTTGCAAAGCCAGCGTTTCGCTCGAGACATCCTCCGTTTTTTGGCGCGGGGGGCGCGCCCTTCCTCGAGCGGGCACGCAACAAGTCAACATGCTCACATTTTTTGTGTCGCAGTCGGGACTCCAGACCTTTTTGTTTTTAGGATTCTGCTGAAAATGCTCCGCACCTTTTTTACGAAGGAAAACGGTGGTCCGCGGATCCCGTCACTTATCGAGGATCCAAGCGGGGGGGCTCACTATCCTCAAGCGGGCACGCGGGAAACGCATGTTCGTTCACAACTAGGGTTCACCTTGTTTTTATCGAGCGGAAATCCGCCGGCCTCCTTCAAGTCAAAACTGGTGGTAAGCCTAGTAAAACAGAACCCTGGGCCCACGCCCTTTCCGGGAGAAAAAAGAAGGACGCCGACGGCCATGGAGTGGCGGGCGGCGCAGCAGCAAATGTCACCGGGGACTGTTGCAACTCAAGAATATTTCAGGCGCAGGCGCAGCGGCAACTGTCGCGGCAGACACGGGCGAGCCAGCCAAAGGGGCATCCAACGCGATGCCGACGAAATCGCCTCGGTCAAGTTCGCAGCGAACGCAGCGACAAGCGATGGAGGTGGAGCGCACCAGCAGCGAGCCGACACGGGGCATCGCGAACCTGGCGGCCTGCTCGACAAAGCGAAGACCCAGGAGTTCGTCTTCGGAGCTGGCGAGGTCGACTTCGACTCGGCATCTTCGGCGGCGACAACAGAAAGGGATGCGGCCACGGCGGCCCATCCCCTAATCTTTCCCACGGCCCCTTCGACAGTTGGGGGGCCGCGATGGAGGCGGGCGCGGGCGAGGAGCCAGTCGCGGCGCATCGCCAGGGGCCAGGGCGCGCGCGAGGAGCCATCGACCTCGCTCGCAAACACCGCCAGGGCGGCTGACCCCTCTTCCGTTTCTTCAGCCCTCTCCCTTCGGGGCAGTTTTGTGTTTTTGGGGGGGGCGCAACGGAGGTCGGCGGGGGCGAAAATGTTCCAGCCGCGGCGCAAGCACTTCAATTTCAAGCGTTGGGCCAGAGCCAGAATAGACGCCATGCTAGGGCCGAGAGCGTCGCGAGCGAGAACTCTCGCGGGGGCGGCGATGAAAGCAACGTCAAACATGCATTTTCGAATCTGCCGCGCGGGAGTATCACGCATCGCGGGCCGCTCGCCTGGGATTGATGTTCTGTCCGGGTGGAATTATTCTGCGTCAGTGGAATGCCGCGCTGCAGCGCCCAAGCAGGACCAGCGGACTGCTCGAGCCAAGATTGTTCGTTTCCAGCGCCGCTCGGCATAGAGCGGGAAG